ATGTCATTAAATTTGTCTTCTTTGTTGAGGATGTGGCCTAGGCCATTCACATTCCAACTTCGGATGACTATACCTTGTGCCCTCCAATTCGGCTTGGGGGCCTGCTGATTGTCTTTGTTCCTTAAGTCCTCCATCCAGTACCCCTATAGGGTAACATTGAGGTGTCTGGCCCCGAAATCCTAGGTAGGGGGCTTATCCTTGTCTGTTTTTGCCACTGGGGACACCTCTGCTGATTCTGGGAGGGTGTCCTTTGCAGGGTCATCTATCTTATATTCCCCTATACTCCCGCCGACCTGTCTCCCTGGGGAACCCATGGGGTCCTGGTCTGTGCGCTCATCGCCAGCCCTGTCTTCCATGTCTTCCTCTTGGAAGTCGTCTCTATAAAAGCATTCCAAATCCAGGGCAAGAGCTCTAGAATCCAAGTCTGCATCGTCGTCCAGTGTGCCTTCCCTGAGGATGTCTGCCAGTGATGTTGTCGACAGCTCCGTTGGGATCCCCAGGCTAGAAAGCATGTTGTACGGGATTGCAGACACCGTACGCCAGGACCTCCACATCGTACCCCTGTTGAGTCTTGCGTTCTCCGACATCTTGGCAATCAGAGGAGTGAATGAAGTCAATCTAGATTCAACTGGATCAGACGTGGTCCTTTGCAGATCCTCGTGTTGCGGTTGTGTCTCGTGTGGCCCAATGAATTCGTTTGTCCCCTCTGTTACGAAAACACCCAGTGGACAAGTAGCAATAATCTTTTCACGAATTACTGCCATCAAGTTTTGTCCCTCCTCGAAGTGTGGGAGTGCAAAGGAAACGTATGTGGCCACCTGCCACTCACCTGTCTCCTCAACGTATCTTGCAGCTAATAGAGGCCGTAGACCCATCATGGTGAGTCTGTTGGATTTGGCTTGTTGCAGCACGTGTGGGGCTTTGCTGTTAGCTATGTGCCGTAGAAATGTGAATTTTGGTTCATACGCGGCATTGAGTTTCTTTAACTTTTTTGTTTGTGCCTCAATGACAGCAAAATCCATTTCAAGCTCAATGCGCTTTGTCTTCCTTGTGTTCTCATTCAGGCCGGACCTCTGGTCATCTTTTTTGTGTGCTTTGATGGTTTTCCATTTCTTTGGGCGCAAGTCTTGGAACGATTCTTCTGAGTCCTTGAATGTTTTTTTAGTGCCCGACTTCCCCTGTTCTCTGGTTCTTTTTTTCTCTACGTACTTGAAGGCAGTGTACTCAGAGAACACCTGTTCAAGTAGTTCAAAATTATTAGCTGATTTTTGGATACCAGCTACTGTGCCTTGCTTCTTATTCCTCTCTATGTGTTTCAGGCAGGCTGTCCGGATGTTGAAGAGGTGTTCCCTCTCCCTCTTGACCTTTTCAATGTACTCACGTAGCCAATGAAGAGATCTGTTGGGAGGGGGCGCCTGATCTTTGATGGTAGCCGAGCCACTTGAGCTTTTGCTATCCTCAGTGTCTTCTTCCTCCATGGACGAGTCTGCATCCTTATCCATGAAGTGGGCTGCTGTGATGTGCGGGTCTGTCACAACCTCCTCCTCAATTTGAGCCCCCTCAGCGCTGTTCGGTTTCCTCCTCTTAAAGTCCGATTGCCCTCTTTCTTGATTGGGGCTAATGTCCAGAGTGCGTTTGCTCTCAGTTTGTTGGATGGTCCGTTCTTGCTCTTCCACCTTTCTTTTTTCGTCCTTCTTTCAATTTTCAATTATTTCCTGTGTTTTTTTTTTAAACTTTTCTGGGTCCTTGGAGTAGTCTTGTTCTGCCCGTTCTCTCACTGAATCCAAGACCCATAGCAGGTCTTCCCTTGCTTTCTCCTCCCTTATAACATGTGAATCGTTCAGGGGGATGGTCTTGATCTTCGTGGGGTTGCCAACTTCTTTCCCCGTTGCCATCTTTTGCCATCTGTTGTCGGCAGGGGGAAAGATATCCGGCTTCTTTGTTGTTGGTTCCTTATCCGAGTAGTGCCAGATCCAATCCGGGTCTTCAAGATTGTCATCAAAGACCCACCCGTCGTAGGTAGGATCCACAATGAACCACGTGCCCGGGGCTTCTTCAACCTCAACCAACATATTGGGCATAAGCTTCCTCTCTTTCTGGTTCGTGGGAAATTTGGGACAGTTCGGGTCGGTACCCATGTGGCCTCGTCCTCTGCATTTGAAGCAGATCGGCGAGGTCTTTGTGGAGATTTCAATCAGTAGTTCCCTTTCCTCGATCGCTAGTGTCCATGTTAGTGGGAACACCGGAGGGTCGTCTGTTTTCACTTCCAAGATTGCCGTCATGGATCCACAGTGGGGAGCAAGGAAATCCGGTGTTGGCATAATCCATTTAAGGATTTTGTTCGCTAGGTATTGCTTCTCCAGTCTATCCACCACCAATCCGTGAAACCCCGGTTGAATTCTGTCAAATTGCACCCATAAATTTTCTTTCATCAGCGTTTGTTTGTACGAAACTGTGAAGGTTGGGTTCTGTCGTTTGCTTTTTCCATGCTGTTATTGTGCAAACTGAGCCATTACAGTTCCTTGACTTCATTTCCGCTGCAGCACGCGCATGGTGCTTGTGATTGAACACGACCAATAGCGAAATACGACCCAGGATCTGCAGCGAGAAAGCTTCCTTGAGATTTTTCAGTTTTTCTTCTTTGTTTATCGCCGCAATCACCTATTTTCGTTTTTCTGCTGGCATGAGATCGGCACCATTTCTTGCAAAATTGAAGATGACTGCATGCTTTTCGTTGAACTCATCCAGTTCCACCACTTTCTCTTCTGGGTATTTCCATATTGCAATCTCTTCTTCTTTACCCTGAGGGTTGGGAATCTTTTCAGTTACTTGAACTCCTTCAACTTTTGTCCTTTCGATGAGAAATTTGAGTGCTTCATTATCAATCACACTCGTGGATGAGTAAGACGCGGCATTGCGGCGAAGTCCCTGGCTTTGCATTTCGATACTTTGATTTGCCCTTGAAGTGACTGAGCGGCTTCCACAGAAAGGGAGAGGGGGAAGGCAGGATGGGGGGGGGAGGGACGGGAGTAGGAGAGACCCAGGTATGAGGGGGTGGGAGGGATGAGAGAGTGGAAGGTA